AGCACATCAGGGAGTTTACTCGTCACTACTAGAGCACACCAGGGAGTTCACTCGTCATTACTAGAGCTCACCAGGGAGTTCACTCGTCACAACTAGAGCACATCAGGGAGTTCACTCGTCACTACTAGAGCACACCAGGGAATTCACTCATCACTACTAGAGCACACAAGGGAGTTCACTCATCACTACTAGAGCACACCAGGGAGTTCACTCGTCACTACTAGAGCACACCAGGGAGTTCACTCGTCACAACTAGAGCACACCAGGGAGTTCACTCGTCACTACTAGAGCACACCAGGGAGTTCACTCGTCACTACTAGAGCACACCAGAGTTCACTCGTCACTACTAGAGCACACCAGGGAGTTCACTCGTCACTACTAGAGCTCACCAGAGTTCACTCGTCACTACTAGAGCACACCAGAGTTCACTCGTCACTACTAGAACACACCAGGGAGTTCACTCGTCACTACTAGAGCACACCAGAGAGTTTACTCGTCACTACTAGAGCTCACCAGGGAGTTCACTCGTCACTATTAGAGCACACTAGAGAGTTCACTCATCACTACTAGAGCACACCAGAGTTCACTCGTCACTACTAGAGCACACCAGAGTTCACTTGTCACTACTAGAGCACACCAGGGAGTTCACTCGTCACTACTAGAGCACACCAGAGTTCACTCGTCACTACTAAAGCCCACCAGAGAGTTCACTCATCACTACTAGAGCACACCAGAGTTCACTCGTCACTACTAGAGCACACCAGGGAGTTCACTCATCACTTCTAGAGCACACCTGGGAGTTCAGTCATCACTAGAGCACACCAGAGTTCACTCGTCACCACTAGAGCACACCAGGGAGTTCACTCGTCACAACTAGAGCACACCAGGGAGTTCACTCGTCACTACTAGAGCACATCAGGGAGTTCACTCGTCACTACTAGAGCACATCAGGGAGTTCACTCGTCACTACTAGAGCACACCAGGGAGTTCACTCGTCACTACTAGAGCTCACCAGGGAGTTCACTCGTCACAACTAGAGCACACCAGGGAGTTCACTCGTCACTACTAGAGCACACCAGGGAATTCACTACTAGAGCACACCAGTTCACTCGGAGTCACTCTCACTACTAGAGCACACCAGGGAGTTCACTCGTCACTACTAGAGCACACCAGGGAGTTCACTCGTCACTACTAGAGCACACCAGGGAGTTCACTCGTCACTACTAGAGCACACCAGTGAGTTCACTCGTCACTACTAGAGCACACCAGGGAGTTCACTCGTCACTACTAGAGCACAAGGGAGTTCACTCGTCACTACTAGAGCACACCAGGGAGTTCACTCGTCACTACTAGAGCTCACCAGAGTTCACTCGTCACTACTAGAGCACACCAGAGTTCACTCGTCACTACTAGAACACACCAGGGAGTTCACTCGTCACTACTAGAGCACACCAGAGAGTTCACTCGTCACTATTAGAGCACACCAGGGAGTTCACTCATCACTACTAGAGCACACTAGAGAGTTCACTCATCACTACTAGAGCACACCAGAGTTCACTCGTCACTACTAGAGCACACCAGAGTTCACTTGTCACTACTAGAGCACACCAGAGTTCACTCGTCACCACTAGAGCACACCAGAGTTCACTCGTCACTACTAGAGCACACCAGGAGTTCACTCGTCACTACTAGAGCACACCAGGGAGTTCACTCGTCACTACTAGAGCACACCAGAGTTCACTCGTCACTACTAGAGCACACCAGGGAGTTCACTCGTCACTTCTAGAGCACACCAGGGAGTTCATTCGTCACTACTAGAGCACACCAGAGAGTTCACTCGTCACCACTAGAGCACACCAGGGAGTTCACTCGTCACAACTAGAGCACACCAGGAGTTCACTCGTCACTACTAGAGCACACCAGGGAGTTCGCTCCTCACTACTAGAGCACACCAGGGAGTTCACTCGACACTACTAGAGCACACCAGGGAGTTCACTCGTCACAACTAGAGCACACCAGGGAGTTCACTCGCCACTACTAGAGCACACCAGGGAGTTCACTCGTCACAACTAGAGCACACCAGAGTTCACTCGTCACTACTAAAGCCCACCAAAGAGTTCACTCATCACTACTAGAGCACACCAGGGAGTTCACTCGTCACAACTAGAGCACACCAGGGAGTTCACTCGTCACAACTAGAGCACACCAGGGAGTTCACTCACTACTAGAGCACATCAGGGAGTTCACTCGTCACTACTAGAGCACATCAGGGAGTTTACTCGTCACTACTAAAGCACACCAGGGAGTTCACTCGTCACTACTAGAGCTCACCAGGGAGTTCACTCGTCACAACTAGAGCACACCAGGGAGTTCACTCGTCACTACTAGAGCACACCAGGGAATTCACTCATCACTACTACAGCACACCAGGGAGTTCACTCATCACTACTAGAGCACACCAGGGAGTTCACTCGTCACTACTAGAGCACACCAGGGAGTTCACTCGTCACAACTAGAGCACACCAGGGAGTTCACTCGTCACTACTAGAGCACACCAGAGTTCATTCGTCACACCAGAGTTCACTCGTCACTACTAGAGCACACCAGGGAGTTCACTCGTCACTACTAGAGCACACCAGAGAGTTCACTTGTCACTACTATAGCACACCAGGGAGTTCACTCGTCACTTCTAGAGCACACCAGAGTTCTAATCTTGGAGTATGCAGCCCCAGCATGGAGTCCGTACCTAGTCAAGCACAAGACGAAGCTGGAAAAAGTTCAGAGGTATGCCACTAGGTTAGTCCCAGAACTAAGAGGCATGAGTTATGAGGACAGACTACGTGAACTGCACTTCACGTCGCTGGAAGACAGAAGAGCTAGGGGAGACATGATCACCACATACAAAATTCTCAGGGGAATTGACAGGGTGGACTAGGATGGATTATTTAACACGGGTGGCACACGCACAAGGGGACACTGGTGGAAGCTGAGTACCCAAATGAGCCACAGAGACATTAGAAAGAACTTTTTCAGTGTCAGAGTAGTTAGTAAATGGAATACACTAGGAAGTGATGTGGTGGAGGCTGACTCCATACACAGTTTCAAATGTAGAAATGACAGAGCCCAATAGGCTCAGGAATCTGTGCATCAGTTGATTGACGGTTGAGAGGCGGGACCAAAGAGCCAGAGCTCAACCACCGCTAACACAACTAGGTAGTACTAGGTGAGGTTAGTACACCAGAGTTCACTCACCACTACTAGAGTACTCCAGAGAGTTCACTTGTCACTACTAGAGCACACCAGAGTTCACTCATCACTACAATAGTACACCAGAGAGTTCATTCGTCACTACTAGAGCACACCAGGGAGTTCGCTCCTCACTACTAGAGCACACCAGGGAGTTCACTCGACACTACTAGAGCACACCAGGGAGTTCATTCGTCACAACTAGAGCACACCAGGGAGTTCATTCGTCAAAACTAGAGCACACCAAGGAGTTCATTTGTCACAACTAGAGCACACCAGGGAATTCATTCGTCACTACTAGAGCACACCAGGGAGTTCATTCGTCACAACTAGAGCACACCAGGGAGTTCATTCGTCACTACTAGAGCACACCAGGGACTCATCACTACTAGAGCACACCAGGGAGTTCACTCACTACTAGAGCACACCAGAGAGTTCATTCATCACAACTAGAGCACACCAGAGAGTTCATTCGTCACTACTAGAGCACACCAGGGAATTCACTCGTCACAACTAGAGCACACCAGGGAGTTCACTCGTCACAACTAGAGCACACCAAAGAGTTCATTCATCACAACTAGAGCACACCAGAGAGTTCATTCGTCACTACTAGAGCACACCAGGGAATTCACTCGTCACTACTAGAGCACACCAGGAGTTCAGTTCACTCGTCACACTCGTCACTAGAGCACACCAGGAGTTCAACTACTAGAGCACACCAGGGAATTCACACCAGGGAGTTCACTCGTCACAACTAGAGCACACCAGAGAGTTCATTCGTCACTACTAGAGCACACCAGGGAATTCACTCATCACTACTAGAGCACACCAACTTAGAAGCATTAAATATGCCAAAACTGGAAGACAGAAGAAAAAAGAGGTGATATGATCACTACATATAAAATAGTAACAGGAATTGATAAAATCGACAAGAAAGATTTCCTGAGACCTGGAACTTCGAGAACAAGAGGTCATAGATTTAAACTAGCTAAACACAGATGCCGAAGAAATATAATTAAATTCACCTTCGCAAACAGAGTGGTAGACGGTTGGAACAAGTTAGGGGAGAAGGTGGTGGAGGCCAAGACCGTCAGTAGTTTCAAAGCGTTATATGACAAAGAGTGCTGGGAAGACGGGACACCACGAGCGTACCTCTCATCCTGTAACTACACTTAGGTAATTACACCAGGGAGTTCACTTGTCACTACTAGAGTACATAAGGGAATTCACTTGCCACTACTAGAGTACACCAGGGAGTTCACTTGTCACTACTAGAGCACACCAGGGAGTTCACTCGTCACTACTAGAGCACACAAGGAGTTCACTCGTCACTAGTAGAGCACACCAGAGTTCACTTGTCACTACTAGAGCACACCAGGAGTTTACTCGTCACTACTAGAGCACACCAGAGTTCACTCGTCACTACTACAGCACACCAGAGTTCACTCGTCACTACTACAGCACACCAGGGAGTTCACTCGTCACTACTCGAGCACACCAGGGAGTTCACTCGCCACTACTAGAGCACACCATAGAGTTCACTCACCACTACTACACTCGTCACTACTAGAGCACACCAGAGTTCACTCGTCACTACTAGAGCACACCAGAGTTCACTCGTCACTACTAGAGCACACCAGGGAGTTCACTCGTCACTACTCGAGCACACCAGAGAGTTCACTCGCTACTACTAGAGCACCCCAGAGAGTTCACTCTTCACTACTAGAGCACACCTTCTACTTTAATTGACACAGAAGAGGATGTTGGTCTGCCCTTGGAAACCTCCAGCTGCTGACAGTGTTGGAGCTTTGGCATTTTACTTGTGTTACTTCCTGGCAAGATCAGTATTTTCTCATTTTCAACAAAGTAATTATTATGAGCAAAATTATGTTTCACATGCTGCCTTTATTAACGCTTGGCTTTGTTCTAGGTACTGTATATGTACAAGATTACTGGTTAATGTGATAGTACAGCTGTACATTCCTTGTCATTGTCATACAGTGTTAAAAATGCAAATCTCAGGAAATACAATAGCAGAAAAATTAGTGCTTTGAGTTCAGGTGTGCCTAGCTTAACTCTACCATCCAGCCAAAGTGGTTGGGCTGGACGGTATAGTGCCGGTCTCGTTTCATGCAGGTCAGTGTTCAATCCCTGACCGTCCAGGTGGTTGGGCACCATCCCTCCCCCCTTTCCCTGTCCCATCCCAAATCCTTATCCCTTCCAAGTGCTATATAGTCTAATGGCTTAGTGCTTTCTCCAGATAATTGCATTACCATGCCACTTGCAACATAGTTTCTTATAATTTATTTCACTGTGTTCCCATATGCTTTTAAATATTGTTTCTAGCATTTCAATTGTGCAGCTTGGTGACATGCTTATCTCCTGGATATCCTCTCTTGTGAGTTACATGAAATATGGGCAAGATTATTTGTGCTGCATTCACAATTATAAAGATTAGAGTTTATGTGAAAGATTTACAGTATAATTAAATTCCACTATTATTGCTCTCAGTAAGTAGCGATAAAAATCGAGTTTATTGATGGGGGACCACTTGCAACAGAATTTTATCTACCAACCTAGCCTTCTAGGGAGAGAGTGGACCACATCCTTGACAACAGGTGGAGTACCGAGTTCCCACATTTCTGACCCAAATGGCAGAAGCGTCTTCAAATGAAATGAAGGAAAACTAGCGATCAGCTATACAGTACAAGACACTGTCAAAATGAGAAGTGAGTTAGAGTTGGGGAGTTAAGGAAACTAACATGTTTACTTGGGTAAAAACATTTTTACCAAGCTTAAGATTGTACCTTCTGATCTAGAGAGCAGTAGCTGAATAACAAAATTTTATGGCAATTAAAATCCTCTATACAAAGGAAGTTTTAGTGGTAATTTATAATTATAGTATAAATATTGTCTAGTCTTTACCTAGTCTATGGAACTCACTCCCTAGTGAATTGAAAAACTGTAAAACTTTTGCCTTATTTAAAAGCAAAACCAAAAAGTACCTAACTTCATCTTCCTAGTTTCCTACACTGAGCTTTAAATTTGCTCTGTACCTAGTGTTACCCAATCTCCTAATTTTTATGTAATATCAAACAACCTTATCATTGTGTTCATTGCTGTCTTCTTTTATGTGCTAGCCATATGCTGTATTGTGACTACCAATTTTTGTCAACTACCATTCAAGCTGTCATTGCAATCAATCTTATATTGTTTCTGCTGTATTGTGCCTACCAATTTGTTGTCAACTACCATTCAAGCTGTCATTGCAATCAATCTTAGCTACTTATGTGCTTTAATATACTATACCTATAATTTTCTCTCATCTTTTTTTTTCACTTCATGTAATCTGTTATCATTTTTTTGTCTATAAATTTTGCAAGTATTTACCTCCTTAAAATTTTCTTAGATTAAGGACCTGCCCGAAACTCTGCGCGTGCTAGTGGCTTTACAAGACTGTAATTACCATATTTGTATCCTCACATTCCTTATGTACATTCTTGTATATGCATAAATAAATAAATAAATTGTCTACCTAATATTTGACTATCCAAGTAATTTGAGTTCATTGAGTAACTGGGATTAAAAATCTCTATACCTGTAGAAACATCAGGTATTGAAAATACTTTCACATTAATATTTTAACATAAAATATGAAAAAGACATGCAAGACTGGGGACCGTGGCATCATGTTGTAGAGATATGAAAAAGCAGTTATTTTTGGTTTAATTCATTTATTATACAACATTTTTTATTTTGTGGAAAAGTCGGCTGTTTCATATTCACATTTCCAATACAGGTATTACAAACCTCTAAGTGATCTGTGCTTTAATATGTTGCACTGAGGCTGTGGAGTGTAATATTACATGTTGAGCACATCACAAGCACATCGGGTACCCGCAGTTTACCTAGAATTGGTTCCGGAAGTTTTTCATCTCCCCCAAGCCCAGCCTGGGTCTTTGTACATTAAGAATATGTTGTAATGTCAGTAATATATGTGCTGCCAGTTTTACTGACTCACAGGGTTCTCATCCTTATACAAAGAAGCTATACCACTACGACCCACAGCTACAGAATCAATAGCACCACAAGAGGGATGAGCTGGGTCAAGACCCTGCCATGTTCGACCCTTTAGGACCTGTCCTCCACCACCTACATGTACGGCTGCAATTGTGTGTCCATCTTGCAGCACAACACCACCTGTACTGCTGTCTAATACTACATCTCTAGTGTCTCTGAAAATAAAAAATGTCACTATTAATATACAAACTATTACCAGTGTTGTTATGCTGGGCAAAATACCACATTAAGTACAAAATTTCCATGTTGAATAGCACAACACAAATATGTAACTTAACTATATAATTTATTACATATCCTTTAATCATTCATATATATAAGCTTATTTCTCACGTATCTTATCTTGAGGTTATATTGAGATGATTTCGGGGCTTAGTGTCCCAGCGGCCTGGTCTTCGACCAGGCCTCCACCCCCAGGAAACTGCCCGTGACAGCTGACTAATTCCCAGGTACCTATTTACTGCTAGGTAACAGGGGCATCAGGGTGAGAAACTCTGACCATTGTTTCTCGCCAGCACCCGGGATCGAACCCGGGACCACAGGATCACGCGTCCAGTGTTCTGTCCGCTCAGCCACCGGCTCCTATGTAGTATCAAGTATTACCCCAAAAATGAAAGTCTTGATTCATTATCTTAAGTTATACCCGAATAGCTGAGTGTAATTAGTGACTTTAAAATATATACACTTACCAGTACTGTACTTACTAATTAACCACTAAGTTAATTAACCATTAAGCTAATGAACTGCTAAGTTAATTAACCGCCAAGTTAATTTTCAGGCATGACTGGCCAAAATGCTGTGCGTGTTCGTGGCTTTACAAGAATGTAAAAATATCAATGCTATGTACTCTCTCAAACCCAATGTACCTTCTTTTATATAATTAAATAAATAAATAAATAAAATAATTTAATCTTCTGTATATCTTATAAAATATTATAATAGCAATATTATTATTATTTATATTATGGTTCAAAAATAGGAAAAATATATTTTCTCTTTTATTCACCATATATTTATATACGAGTGAATAAAGTTAAGATAGAAATATCTAAATTTACTAATCATCAGATTCTTACCTGACACCCAGAGCCTGAGTTTTGCAGGTTATCAAGGAAACATTAACCTCCTCTTCTCTTGGTTCACTGGCGACCTCAATGTACCGTGACCCTCCTGGAAGCAGTTGCCTGAAATCTGTCTCAAAGGCAAGACTCCACTCTTGCCTCGGCAGTAATGCCACTTCCAGCTCCCAAGGAGTAATAAGCTTCTTATAAAGTACTGGATCTGTGTTGCGTTCAATAATTGACGTCTCGGGGCATGCCACGTACACGAAGGTGTCTACCTCGGAGATATTGGCTAATTTGGGTTCGTTAGGTTTACCAACAACGAAGGTATAACTTCGCTTGCCTGCTGCTTTGATGATACTTTTCAGTTTTGATATTACATGTTGACAGTCAGCAACTCCTAGAGTACCTACTAATATTCCAATAATTTTAGCGTCTTTAGCTTTTTCTAAATTAGCACTGCGCTTCATGACTATATGAACACCAGAGGTGATTTCTACTGATCCATCATCCGAACTAACACAATAAAATGTATTTTCAGAAAATCTCATCAATAGACTGTTCACTGTTGGTCCACTGGGTCCAAGATAAATAAAATGATAATCTCTAATGTCCGACTCACTGGGCATATATGCAACACGGCCAAGGAATGTTAGTCTGCCGGACGAATCTTGAGTAACATTATTTGGAGTTCTATTCTGACAGCTACTCTCACATTCACAAGGAGTTGATCTTGTAATGTTCCGACAACATTCTTCACTTGCAGGAGGACGAGGACTTAGTGTATTTTGACAGCAGCTATCAACATAACAGGAAGTTTCTGGAGGGCTTTTACCATGTACGAACTGACTAGTATTACAGCTGCAACCTTTATTCATCAGGAGGGTTGTAGTTACCAGGTGCGGGAAGATCTTCTGTAATTTTTCAACGAGTTCACCTGTACAAATATGATGCCAAAATATGAGTGGTATATTAAGTAATTATAAAAAGACAGCACCAAGCTAAAGACTACAGGAATATATTAAACAATTTCAGGTTTACTTGTGCCATATAGACAGTTGCAGACCAACTGGCCACATAAACCCCATGAACAACTACCATGGCACAAGTGAAGGAACTCCTCTTTTTTATTTAATGGATCTAATCTGACAATATTCACACTTTAAATATTTTATAGTGATCTACTCAATAAATACTGTTTGATCCTTGTGATTTTTGAGGAGTATGACTATTTTTTCAGTTGTATGGTTGCAAATGATGCAGAAAACGGTTAAAAAATACAAATGGTATTAAAAAAATAAAGAACATTAGCAAGGCTCATAGCTCATGATGCTATAGCTCATAGCATCATTCTGGTAACAGATGGTATATCTTAAATACCATAAAATTTAAAAAAACATTAATTACTAGGCCAAATTATTAAATGTATTTATGCAACACTACCTAATACAGTGGGGTACTGTGTATCCAGAACCTTAAAGCTAATATATCTTTTAAATTCATCCTAGTTATTTGAGTTTCATGGAATTCTTGGATATCAGTTTCTCATTTGTGCTGTATTGTCTTGGTTTTATTTGACTCAGTTTACACAAACTGAGGCACTGACAGTAGCACTCCATTTCTTCTTCATGCACATAATACCTGACCAAAGTCTCACTCTACTAGCACCACACCTCCCATCTTGACCCATTCTACTAGCCCTGCACTTAACATCTAGACCCACTTGTCAATTACAGACTAGACAAATATTGGAGGCCAAGTGCAATATTAGTCATCAGGAACACGGCGAGCTTCTACGGACATAATGCAATGAATGCAAGGGATGGGGTGCACTTACGTAAGGCAGGTGAAGGTAAAGTAATTATCAAAAGCAGGCACCAAGCCGGGAAGACTATGTAGCACCATCAGTGTCGCTGGATATTCAAAATGCATTAATGTCACTGATGATGCCAATGTGAGAACAAAAGCACATGAGGTGAGCAATATCAAATTTATCGGATGAACTAAGGATTCTACTGAGACAGAAATGACCATGAGGGACAATTGGGAAGCAAGACACACAAACATCCTGAAAATCAGGACATTCTAAATGTGCATGACTTAGAGAAGCAAGGCAATAAGGAGCAGAGCAGCATCCCATTAAGTGCCAGTGTGTTAAGTGCGCATGGCCAATATGTAACCTCGCCAGAGCCCTTTCCCACCGATGATTACGGTGGCAACAGGAAAACCAAGGGGACACGCTACCCTTAAGAGCATGCAGTTTGTTACCTGTATTGCAAAACTAATGACCCTGCCCACAGTCTCAGATCAATGAATAAATGACAGCACAAATCTGAGTAAGGAATGTCTTTTGGGGAAATAGGACAAGTGCAGACAGACTCCTTAGCAGCAGCATTCACATGGTCATTTAAGATAATGTCAATATGACTAGGAACACAGCAACACTCAACTGCCTGAAATCTGCTAGAGATAGAAATCGCCAATATTAAATTTCTACCACCACAAGATGCATAGAATTAAATGACTCCAGAGCCATGAGAACGCCGAGAGTCAAACACAATAACAAAGGAGCACTGATGTTGGAAAAGCCGTTGATGAAGAGCATACAAAATTGCATATAGTTGAGCTGGGGAAATAGGACAAGTGCAACAGACTCCTTAGCAGCAGCATACATGCATTTAAGATAATGTCAATATGACTAGGAACACAGCAACACTCAACTGCCTGAAATCTGCTAGAGATAGAAATCGCCAGCATAGAATTAAATGACGAGCCATGAGAACGCCGAGAGTACAGGAGCACTGATGGTTTGAAGAGCATCAGCATATAGTTGAGCTGTGAAGATACTAGCCTCCGGAGGCAGGCGGTACAGAAAGGTTTGGTCAGGAAAGACTACAGAGTAACCAACACCATTAGCAGACTTAGACCCATCTGTGAATAGGGTAATACTGTAGTGTGATTGCAAAGAAAAATGTTAAAGGAAAAGGCATTTCATAATTGGAAGGGGTGGTAGAAGCAGGGGCTCAGTGCAAATTTTATAGGTGCCAGAGCTCTGGTGGGCTTGACAAAAGCCTGTCATTTCCTTTCCTGTTTCTATATGTCATACAATTAAGTATTTTGTGTTTGTATTCACTAATTATCATAAAATATAATTATCACACAAATAAAGAAAAAACACCAATCATGTATTTATCAATTTAAGAAGTTAAAATGTAAGGTCACGAAGCATGTAAGCCGTACCCTAGAGTACGAACTCACGAAACCCGTCCTTACCATCTTATTTAGAGTATAGGTACGTAACTTTAAACTAGGGATGTAGAACCAATGGGCATTTACACACACTTCAAACACAAGAATGACCACGTGGGACCGGCACCATATTTTTATCTTGTCGGGACTCAAGAAACAACCAAAGTGCATGCATTACATTTATTTAACCACATTAAAAGGGTTAATACACACAAGGAAAAATCTCACTCACCGGATTAACGAATACAGTTCTCTTCACTTGGAAATAAATGGAGGTCAATAACCTCACACAGTGAGGAAAGTAGCTCACGAGCACACACCACACAACCTGTGTGTGTGGAGTCTCAGCCCTCTCTCTCATGTGGAGTGCAGGAACGCTCCTCTCAAGAAAATGTGCGGGATAATTTTTACACACAAAATCACTCTCATTTACTAATACATACTCTCAAACACAAATAAAACATAAAAATGAACACAAATAAAACAAACTGGCATTTTAGTTAAGAGAAACATTACAGTAACAACCACAAAAAGTAAGTAAGTAATTATCAAAAGAAGGCATCAAACCGGGAAGGTTATGTAGCACCATCAAATGTGTGGAATAATCAGAGGGTGCTAAATATCACCAAGGATGCCAATACGAGAACAGAAACGCATAAGGCGAACGATATTAAAAGTATCCAATTCATCAAGAATACTATCGAGGGACAAGCGACCACGAGGGACAGTCGGAAAACAAGACACACGCTCATCCCGGAAGTCAGGACTTTCAACAAGGATATGCACGACTGTAAGAAGAACATTGCAACTTGGACAATAAGGAGCAGGGTGGCGCTCCATTAAGTGACCCTGAGTTAAGTGAGTATGGCCAATACGCAACCTCGCCAGATCCGTTTCCTATTCCCGGTTACGGTGGTAGGAGGATGGCCACGAAGACACACAACTCTTAAGAGTACGCAGTTTGTTATCAGTAACACAAGACCAACAAACCTGGTAAGGATGGAGGAATGAATAACTGGGTAAAAGTCAGACTAAGGAATACTTTTACAAGAGATGGGACAAGAGCGGCCAGCTTCCCTATAGCGGCAGCATCCAAACACTCATTTAAAAGAGACGCCAATATGGCTGGGAACCCAGCAAACTCAACCGACTTAAATTTACTGTGAATAAGAAACTGCCAATGCTCTATCTCGACAACCACTGGATGAACCGGATTAAAGGACCCGAGAGCCATGAGGGCACTACAAGAGTCGACGACAACTACAAACGAAGATTGACAATGAGAAAGCAGGAGATGAAGAGCAGAGAGAATGGCATAAAGTTCCGCTGTGAAGATGCTAGTTTCCGGAGGTAAGTGACACAAATAAGTGCTGTCAGGAAAAACAACAGAGTAGCCCACACTGTCCGCAGACTTGGATCCACCAGTGAAGATGGAAACGGAGCGGGAGTGTGAAGAAAAGTGCTCAAGGAAAAGGCATTTCAGAACTGTAGGAGGGATAAAAGCTTTAGTGATGCAGGTTAAGGAAGTACAAAACTGCGGAAGGGGGACTCTCCACGGGGCAAAGAAGGAACAACACGAGGAGAAATATTAGAAATATGAACCAAAAGAGAATCCTGTAAGCGAGATAACCGGACAGAAAGAGGGAGGTGGTGAAGAGGAACAGGAACCACAGGAGGGGTAAAAGCTAAAGCACAACAGAGGTAAGAGGAAGGATGTTGCAAGGACCGTGCAAGATAGCGAAGACAGTAGCGATCACGGCGGTCCTGGAGAGATAGGAAGCCAGTGTCAACATACAAGCTGAGGACGGGAGTCGAACTAAAGGCACCAGAACTAGGCGCAACCCAGTATGGTGCAAAGCATCATGACGGCAAAGAGTAGAAGGAGAAGCAGATGAGTAAGCAGGGCAACCATAATCGAGTTTAGACAGGACGAGAGAGGAATGTAAAGCGAGAAGAGTGATGCTCCCCAAGAAGAATGGGACAACACCTGAAGAAGGGTAAGGGCCTTAGAGCATTCAACTCGGAGGTAAGAGATATGGGGCGACCAAGACAAACGAGTGTCAAAAATCAACCCCAAAAGCTTGGCGGAATCCTTGTACACAATGAGGTGACCATAAAGCGACAAAGAATGACGAAGAACGACACGCTTCCGAGTAAGTCAAAGCACAAGTCTTAGACGTAGAGAACCTGAAGCCATGATTGGTGGCCCAAGACGACACGGCATCAATTGCAAGTTGAAGCCGGCATTGAAGGAGAGGCGAATCATCACCCCGACAGCAAAGGGTAAGATCGTCGACATAGAGAGCGGAGAAGACGCCAGAAGGAAGAAAGGAAAGAAGACCATTGAGGGCAAACAGAAAAAGAGTAGTGCTCAGAACACTACCCTGGGGCACACCTTCGTATTGCTGAAGAGGCAGAGAGAGAGCAATACCAAGCCTCATCCGAAAGGAAGCTTTGGAGAAAGAGAGGGAGATTACCACGAAGGCCAAAAGAATGAAGTTGGGACAGAATATGATATCACCAAGTGGTGTCGTAAGCCTTTTCCAGGTCAAAAAGGACGGCAACAACGGAGGTCATTGTAGCAAAGGCAGTACGAATATAGACCTCCAAGTTCACCAGGACATCCGTTGTGCTGCGGCACTTGCGGAAACCAAATTGAGGAGGGGAGAGGTGGTGAAAGTGTTCCAAGAACCACATCAGATGAACGTTAACCATACGTTCAAAGAGTTTGCAGACACAACTTGTGAGGGCAATAGGGCGAAAGTCCTTAGGGGAAGTCCCCAGAGACCTTGGTTTGCGAACGGGGAGGACAACGACATCGAGCCAGTCCTCAGGGACTGACGACGATTCCCAGATCCAATTATACAGACTCAGTAAATACTGAGACGTGCACAGGAGATGGCAAAGCCTCTCAATGAATGCCATCGGAGCCTGCCGCCATAGAACCGCAGAGGGCTAGGGCA